ACATCCAATCTAAACCTCCCCTGGCGCAACTTGAGGCCATTTCCTCTCGTCCTTTCGCCAGTTACTTGGGAGAAGAGACCAACACCCACCTCGCTACAACCTCCTTGCAGGTAGTTGTAAGGCGTGATAAGGTCTCCCCTGAGCCTCCTTTTCTCCAGGCTAAACAACCCCAGCTCCCTCAGCCGCTCCTCATAAGACTTGTTCTCCAGACCCCTCACCAGCCTCGTTGCCCTTCTCTGGACATGCTCCAGCACCTCAACGTCCTTCTTGTAGTGAGGGGCCCAAAACTGAACACAGTATTCGAGGTGCGGCCTCACCAGTGCCGAGTACAGGGGCACGATCACTTCCCTACTCCTGCTGGCCAGACTATTTCTGATACAGGCCAGGATGCCATTGGCCTTCTTGGCCGCCTGGGCACACTGCCGGCTCATGTTCAGCCGGCTGTCGACCAACACCCCCAGGTCCTTTTCTGCCAGGCAGCTTTCCAGCCACTCTTCCCCAAGGCTGTAGCGCTGCATGGGTTGCACTGCATCCTCAAATGGAGGATGATTTTTCTTTAAATTTAAAAACAGATAAAAGTCACAGCACCACTTTAAAAAATTAAAATAAATCTAACAGCTTTACGCTATTTGTGAAAATAGTTCGTGGCCTCCTTTTACTCCCTCCTTTCTTCCACAGTCTAAAAGAAGAGGACCAGATTAAAGTCTTAGAGCAGGAACGCTCATCTCTCTCCAGCTTACAGCCCACCATTCAGTTCATCTAGTCTAGCTGCTGTCAGTCATCCTGTTGCTAGCTACTAGCTATCTCTCCTCACACATATACAACATTCTTACATCTGTATGGTAAATCCACCGTTCCTAAGAAACATCAGACCTACTGTTCACGTATGTAGGTACACAAACTGCAGAAGGTAGTTTATCTGTCATGGGATCAAGGAACGGTCCTTGCTTTGCCTAGGAGACAGCAAAGTGGTCCACTTGAATAATACAGTGGTTTAGTCTACTCACTTCAAGTCTCATAGAAACAAGATACTGAGAGCAAGTTCTTAGTCAGCATTTGGTACACCATATGGAAGCCAGAGGTTGCAAAGGGAATGATTTTATCTCACCATTCACAAAAATCCTTGCATAAGCACATTCTGTTACTTTACATATGGCTTATTGCTATACTACATTGTATTTAAAACAACTGTAACTACACATATATTCGTACAGATTTCTGAAGCAGGATCACCCAGGCTCACATTCAAATTGTGACTATAAATGATACCACTTCTCTATTTCAGTATGAACATAAAGAAAAAAAACTAACAGTGTTTATGGAGGCCAATTAAATCTGCACAATGCCTCTGAACAGCTATTCACCCTAGAGTTCAAAAGGGATTATGGAAAAAGTCTATTGACCAGAGGAAAGTTATTTGATTGTAATTGAGCAGGGAGGACAAAATAGCAAATGGCACTAATGAAGATATCACCACCAGATAACAGTGGTAATATAGTACAAATTAAACAAGTAGCTTTATTTGTCAGGAAATTAAAATTCATGGCATCTGAACTAATGTTCTTCGGTAACATTTTTTAGTAATAAAAAGCACGTTAACAAAAGGTCACAACTAAAATGGAAAGATTCACTAATATGACTATAAACCCATTAGTACCAATCTGTCCTCTAGAAACCACATCTTTCCTTTGTTTTACCATATAAAAACAAACCTGACATTTCATCGTGATTAACTTATCCGTGGGCTATTTAATACATTTCTTACTGCTGTCTTTCTACATATTAACTCAAGAAACAGCATTTGAAATGCCCTGCATTAGTATGTGAGGAAAAGACTTTCTACCTACGTAAGAATGCAAAATGCTTAGCAATCATGTCCCCAAATTTAGTTTAGATGTCTTTTTAGGTTGAAGGCTTATACCTACCTTAAATTGTCCATATAATGAAATCATTGAGAAGAAGAGGACAACAGCCAGAGGACCCCAGAAGTCTGGATTATCTCTCACTACCTGCCTATTAAACCCAAGAGATGGCATAGGCATCAACACACATCGAATTTTGTAGTAAATATCCTTCAGATCAATGTCGAGTTCTTCCCTGAAATTGTAAAGCATGAGAGCAATTACTATACACCACAGTAATGAAACAGAGCATAAAAAAGTAAGTTCGGGGGCAAACAGTAGGTTTATAGAGCAAGTCTCCTGTCACCCATAAGGCTTTCTGAAGCCATGACTAGCAAAGGAACAGTTCGTCCGCAACAAAGCAACACCATACCTTCACCCCACATTCAGTAACTGGTGTGACACAGTTAGATAATTATTAAAAAAATCAATTACGTGACTGAGAATAGAAAACATACACAACATACCCTAACAGTCTACATTAAGACAGTAGATCTATTTTCTGACATGCAGGAACACATGACACATTCATACCACTGTAACTACTTAAAAGTCAAAGACATGCATACACAAAAGTAGGATGCCTGTGTATTCCTACGCTGAGCAGTTTGCCACGAGCACACTCATTATGGAAACATTTTATTTCCAATTCTACAAGAAAGAATACCTTTACTTTCATTAATCCTAAACCATTCAAAATACATCAGGTAAAATAATTTTTTTAAATAAAATGGGGTTTAACTTGCTGCAACAACAGTAGTTTTCAGCAGACCACTTTATGCCAATTGTTTAATTACTGGCTTGTTTTCAATATGGGTAGAAATAAATAAAAGCCAATTAAACTAGCAATAAATTCTATCAACAGGTCTTGCTCTTCTCCAATTGCCTTCTCGACTCCCTGCTACAAACTATCTGTAAGCAGCTACGAATTGACCAAAAGATTCTTCTGCATAGGAGGCTGTTAACTGGTACATCTGGTCCTGATTGTCCTAGCATAAGGGGGAGGAAGCAGACTTTCCAAGTAACGGGCAATTCTACTTCTTTAAGTTTATGCACGGAACCTTAAGACAAAACTGTATGCTATACTGTTTTTCTTATGCAGTCATGACTGAGGAGCTCTGAAGAGTTGCAAGAAACTCCCCAGCAGATATCCTTCTGCTCTACATTTAAGAGCACCGTGGAGAAAAATGTAGAATCATATTCTAAGTCCATTTATGAAAGTTTTGTACAAGGCTTTGATTTATGGCTTTTTCCTCAGAAAAGCTGAAGCAAGAAATAAACAAAGTCATGATTCACCACAATTTCTCTTAAAAAAAAAAAAACCCAACCCAAACTAAATACTGCTCATTGAGTCTCTCAAGGCAATTTCAGAATCGCAATTACTGAAGCTATTTCAGAATTGGTATTACTAACCTGTGACTAAATAACAAAAATTGTTCTTTAACGCATCCCTGAATCTAAGGAGTGGACTAGAAGCATCTATTTTCCTCCATTTATCTAAACAGGAGGTAGCATCCCTGTATTTTACTCTGAAGATTGTGTAACACAGTATTTCCCGTCTGGCAATAATTCTTTGTCATCGCCTAGGGCTTCTGACAGTTTCTCATGTGAATAAACTGTCTTTTGTCTGAAGCTGACAGCTACCTCACCCAAGAAGTGATGGTAGCTGTAACAGGAAACAAGTGTCTGGAGTCAGGCTGCCCAATGAGAAAGAAAAAAAACCCCACCTCACCGTTGAACAAAACGCTTGCACAGTAGCACTGCATTGGTGAACTTCCTTTAGCTGGCTGCTATTCTTTAAATCCTTAGTAGGATTCACGTTACAAGGCCTCATTACAGCGCATGTTCTGAGAATAATCAGAACTGCATAAAAACTGCCACATGAAACTCAGATTAAGGTCTTCTCTGTTAGGATGATTATATTCATCCTGTTTGCCACAAACTGATCATTTCCCTGGCACGTTCTCCTCACTTACAGCAATCAGCAGCTTAGAACACCTAGCTGTCTTTGAATCACAGACTTGGTTTTTGTGGTATAAAAAGTTACACGAAAGAGGGAATTCCTGTGTTGTCACCTCAGTACACCATTCTGCTTCTTAATTAAAAGTTAGAGGTTTACAGAACAGACTTATTCACACAAGGAGCTACTTCTGCACACTTTAAGTACTTTTCAAGTAGCAGTTTCATTATTAAGCTCTCCAGGCATCTGTTCTCTCCCAACACTCTCATGAGTTCTCCAGAGTACTCTCCTGCTCACTCCATTTTTTTAAAGCATCATTATCTTTAATGCACATAGGAAAACACCGAGACACTGAGAATGAAGTTGCTTAGGTGCAGAACAAGGACGAAGACCCAGGCTGCCTGACCCACAGTGTAGTAACCTTAAGATACAAACTTTCTTCAGCCAACCACGTTTCTGTGAACAGAACAAGGGATGCAGAGATTTTCAGATTTTTGTGTCCTAACACCATTTTAATCTAGCTTTATAATATAAGATAGCATCAAAGATTAGGAAGTTTGTGCTACCTTGCTTCTTGCATCCCTACTGTAATAAGCATGATTCACAATGCGTTTACTTCAGAGTAACTGACAGAATTTACCTAGATTTACTTAACATGAATCTTTCCACAGGATTGTCTTAGCCTTTGATTCTTTGACAGTATTACGAAACTCACATCAGCACAAAAGATAGAAAGAACACAATCTAATTTTTTAAACCATTACAAGATCAACAGATAACAGCAGAAAAGCCATAAAAGCTTTATACTTATAGAGATTAATAAATTGGATTTTACTTCCTCCTTCCTTCCTCCCCCACAGTGAACAACAAGCCTTTCTTTTACACTAAAAATAAAACCCAGAATGAGAAACATAACGTTTTCATTCCTGCACCAGAAAATGCTCATTGGTTAAGTAATTTGTCAAACGGGATTCTAGTCACAATAAAAGGCTGTGGGGCAATCTGAGAGGCTACAAGTCGTTTGTTTTTCCTACACAGCTAATAAAGATAGATACCCAAAAATGATTCTGACATACAGGAGTGGCTTGTTATCTTCTGGGTCATCATCTTCCACTTCCAGAAGCCAGCCATACCCTCTCTGTCTTAGGAATGTAGTTGCAGTAGATTCTTTGATGAATTCTCCTCCAAGATTTAGCTTAACATCTGGAGTTGTTATGGAGCCACTAAGATCTTAGAGAAAAATGAGAGAAAGATAAACCTTTTTATGTCCTGCCAAAAGCCATCTGATTTCAAAAGTACTGGAAGATAAACAACAGACGTATAAAGCTACATGTGCTGGTCATCACCATGAAATAGTCAAAGTTACAGAACAAAATTATACTTTAACATACATAGTTTGAAAGGGCACTTCTGGTTTAATGCAATAGTAACAATGTCTGTTTATGTCTCAGACTACCAAGTTTTAGCTTCTAGATGGAACTCTTGTTCTGATGACACAGTGCTATGGTATGACAGAAAGGCTTCAATTTGTGCCTTATCATTAAGCATTTAAGGGCATAAAAGGAGTTAACTAAAGAAAAGTCTCACCGTACTGCAAGTTGTGGATTATTTAGCGTTTTTTTGCTGGCCATACTATACCTCTTTCGGAGCCCATTCCTGCACAGTGGCATTGTTTCAGCCAAAACCATTCTCTGCTTTTATGTCCAATTTTTCATGAAAGGAAAACATTTGTAGATGTTTTCATTTGTAGCCTGCCTTTAATACAGGTGAAACTGTTAGAAAAAGAATACTATCAGAGATCCTTAGGCTCCAGCCAATAAGAAGAGAAACAAGGAGCTCTCTTCAATACACTATGATCTTGCTCTGCCACGGTACTAAACAAAACAAAGAGCAATTTATGTGTGTTCTGGCTGTGTCAAAGTCACCGATAAATATTAATTTCATTCTTTCATTGTCTTCAGTTATATACAGATGAAAAATACAAATTAGTAACTGAAAATAAACGAAGCAACCTGAAGAAATTAAAAAATACAGAAGAGGGGAATAACTCTTCCTTTAGGAAACGATGAATTTCCATTATTTGCTAAAAAGGAAAAATCCAAACAGAAACATGTACATTTTTTGTACAAACCTTATTACAAATATATTGAGAAACAAAAACGCTCTTCTCATCCAACACCTTTTTGCTTCACCAAAGAAAAGCTTATTTTGCCTTTCCATTGTGTGTTCTTCACACAAAAAAGTTCCTAGGCACAAATTTCCCAAAACACCTTGCTATAGCAAGTACTTCTGAAACACATACTCACAGAGGCAAGCCAGGCCATATTTGTAGATTACATTTGCGACACTTTCTATCAAACTGCAACGTAGTTTTATAGAAACAAAATCTGCACAGTGACAGAATCTCACAGAGTCTTCAGCCAGCATGTCTGGAGTGTTCACTGATCACTCAGCATCACAATTAATTTAACAGAATTATCCTTCCCAAATCAGCTTGCTAGGCCACTCAAGTTTAAATTTAAGCCTCTCCATAACTGCTTTTCAACCATTTCATAATCATGAGAGTTAACGATCCATTGCTTTGATTCTTGGAATACCATCTGCGCAGGATCCTTGTAAAGATCACTGTAACTTAAAGAAGGAGTTTCTTTTTGCTCCCGTAAGTATTGGCACACATACACTGTTCTCACCAGACACAAGCAAAGTCGCCTTCTGCTGTTTACAGGGGAAGGAAAAAAGAAAAATGTATTCTTAATGCCTGGGTGTCAAGGTAGAGAAAACCTCGGAAGTTTTCTACTGTCATTGGGACCCTTTTGTAATTTAAAAATATTTGTTTATCCTACAACATAACACTACTTTGCAAGGAGAGGTTCTTGCTACTCTTTGTGCACAGATGTGGCTGTGAAAACAAGCAAATGTAACAGTCCAACCAGCCATTTATTTCTCCTTTCACGGTGACAGCTGACAATCCATCCTGAGGCAGGGAAACTTCTACACAAGTCTTATTTACCAGGACTCCTTTTAGCAGTCGATGATCGGTGAATACCTACAACCATATGTTTTAATCATGAAACCTATTAACATGATCTTAAGTCTATTTTGCAAGACATCTCAGGTGGGACATAAAACTGCAGAAACCAAGGAAAAAAAAAAATCCGCCACCCCCTCTTCTACAGACTGCTTTGAATGAGATTGTTAACAGCAAGCCAACTGAGCGCTAAAGAATCTGCCAAGAGTTGATGGTTCTGATGCTCGCCAGCGAGAGTTAGGGTGCTTTCACTGCTACCATCTCAGGCAGAACACAACAGAAGCAAAACTGAGGTATCTCACGCACCTTATTTCAACGAGGCATTGTGGAAAACCAGCTTTCAAGACAGTCAATTTTGAAAATGCAGTACAAGAGGCAAAAAAACCCTGAAACAGTCTGTTCTTTATACCATATCTGTCCACTTAACTGAGAACACCTCTCCAGCATTCTTGCCCACAAACAGCTCCTGCCTCTCATGCAAATAACATGGGAAAATAAAACAGCTTATACTTTTATTTTTCATATGGATCAAGATTTGGGAAACAACTAGAAATTAGAGCGCAACGTGTAGTGTTTTAATTTAGAAATGTCAAGCTGTTTAATTCTGCTTATGCTTTTGTTTGTTAGGGTAGGTCCATGCAGCACTTTGCAGACCGGACTACACTTGAACAGGCAGGAGATCACGCCTTTCTTGTGTTCATAAAGAACACAGAGCCGAGTCCAATTCAACACATCCTACTGGAAAGGTGGCTGTATTGGATTGGGTTCAGCATTGCTCCACAAATACTTCAAGCGGTAATCCAAAGAGTTTCCATTCAGAGGTACGTGGATCCTTTTTCAGGCTAAGATGGGGAAGAAAACCAAAACAACAACAAAAAACCAAAGCCAAGATTGTACCTGTTGATTAGCATTCCTTGTCAGAAAGACTGGGAAGTTCACCAAAGAACAGGCATTCTACAGTAGTTTTTCCACTTCAATAATTCTTTTCCAGGGTGGGGCACATGAGTCAGGATTTACACGATTCCCTACCCCTATCCGCAATTACAACAGCGACTAAATACATACATAAAGTAGAACGCGTGTTGTTTAAATGGGTAGAGCCCAAAAGGTCATTCCCCATCAAAATAAGTTAGCACAATGTTGACTCTTGTATGTTCATTTTCGCAGTCTTAAGGCAGATCTTCATGGCATGCTGGGACACCACAGCTATTTGTGCGGCAGTTAGGCAGCGGGCCACGCTTCACCCCCGAAACTACACACGGGGCTTATTTTTCCCCCTCGTTACCGTGCTGAAACGAGACACGCCACCGAGACTTTGGCACAGCACTACAGCGAATGCGAACGTACGGCACAATCTTCAGCAGGCACGGAACCGCGCTTCCAGCACGGGGGGAAGGAGGAGCGGTCTGTGGCAGCGCTTGGCACGCTTACGTCAGGTCGCCGGGCACAACCTCGATTGCGGCTTTCAGAGAACCTGAGAAACGGAGCACCGCGGCCGGCTCTGCCCCGCCGCGG